TGATGAAGGTTATTAATTCAAAGCGCAGTAATGTTGTATCCACTGTAAACTGGTGCCATCTGGACAGATCAGTTTCACTATCACGTTTCCATGTCTGCTTATATTAAGCGCATGAATTGTACCGGAGTGCAGGAAGAGAGAGCGATTGAGCGTACCAAAAATGTTGTCAGTGCCGCTTTCAAAACGAGACCGGAAGAAGTTTCCGTCAGAGGGCTTTCACTACTTCTTTGGCAGGAATAGTGCTAACGGAACAAAGAAATTTTGGAGCTGTGAACAAAAGGGTCGATGCAAAGCTAGGATACACACAACAGGTACAACTGTTGTCATGGAGATTGGTGAACGTTCGCATGATAATTCGGCTGCAGCTGTGGAAGTGGCAGAACTTGTGACGATGATCAGAAGACATGCTGAAGATAACATGGAAGCATCCGTGCAAGTTATAAACAAGTATGCAGTTGGAGTATCGCAAGGGGCTCGGGGTTCACTTAAAAATCTTCGAGCACATAAGAAGGTTGTAATACGAAGAAGAAATGAAGTGATAGCCAACTAGCTTCCGTGAATATAGTGACACTAACTCTGCTGGTATCATGCAAAAGGTCGGAACCGCAGTAAGATATCTTTGAATAATTCTTGATTGGTGGCGGTAGACCTAGATCCATTCGAATATTGATTTGTCCCACACAGGAAACCCTGCAGGTTTTGAGGTAGTCGAGAACGTGGTTTTCAGATGGAACATTTCGACCTGCACTACTGTTATTTGTCATGTCTGTAAAGTACTGTCAAAAAGGTTTGCTGGTGTCGATCCTGTTGTAGAAGGGTTTTAGCCAAGTAAGTAAACAGCGTCGTAAATATAGTGTGCTTTTTAATATTTGAAGAGCTGCGGTACCGGAACTTCAGCCAAATTCGATTTCTTGTGATTTCGAAATTCCGTTGATTCCTGTGAAGAAGAACGTATTCCAAGATGTTCAACTGCATGGTTGTTTCTGATATTCGAATTGCAACAAGAAGAAGCATTTGGATGGATTGCATTTATTTGGTGCTTATAACGCCGATGCTAATTTCACGTTGAAAGTGATGGTGAT